TTGAAGTATGTTAAAAGTGCATTAAAATTAGAAAGACTCAGTTTTTTTTTTTTTTAAAATAAATATTGACAAATTTCCTGGTTTACAGTTTTTTTAATATTTATTCTGTTTTGAATCCATTTCCTTTTATTAATAACGAAAAATAAAGTAAGTCAACATAATATCAACATGAATTAATTTCCGAAAAAAAATTTTTTTTGTTAAAAAAAATAAGTAAAAATAAAAAAAGGGAAATAAAAAAAGAAAAATAAAAGAAATTGAAATATTCATGATTTAAGCCAATTAAGGGATATTCTTTCAATTTTAAATAAAAATCTATGGAGGAATAAGAACAAAATTATTTACAATCATTAATTTCAATGTTATAATAAATTGCAGTGTATATAAAATAAAATTTAGAAAAAAATAAACTTATACACTCAACGGTAAAATTATAAACAGTAAAATAATAATCAGAAAATTCAATTTATCGCTATTATGATATGTATCTTTTAAAACAATAACTCGTCTTGTGATTTTTTTCCTAATTTTGGAATTTATTTATTTTACATTGCTTCACATATATTAAAAACAATTTTTAACTAGTGTATCAAAAATCTTACATTTAGAAAAAAAAACTCGTTCAGTTTTATTAAATTCCACGGATGATCACCCAACCTGCTAGGTAGGTGGCGCTTTAGGTAGTTAAGGCCAAATGTTGCAAATAATTACGAATTTGAAAATAAAATGTTTTCCCACTTTAAATTCTCATTGCACGCAGTTCGCCATTCCGAGCAAATAATCAAAATGTTAATGCATTTTTAAATATATTTTTCCTTTTATTACGATTTTTGATTTAAATAGGAGTAACACTTTTCCGAAAACGTTTTATCTGATTTTTCTTTAAAATATAAAAGAATGTCTATTGTTTTTGTAGTTCCTATTTTAGATCTAATTTTTAAAAAGAAATTATAAGAAAAAAGCAAACTATTGAACTAAAAATAAAAATGCAGAAAAACCACCATTTATTATTTAATTTATCAATAGCTATGAATGTAATATAAAATATTATTTATTGAAATTAGCAAAGTTTAAAAATATTTTTCTATACTATAAGAAATTACCGAACTTTTCTCATTATACTATTAGGGAAATGATTTTTTTTTGTGTGTGTGTGTGTGTGTGAAAATACGGTTGCATTATGAAATAAATTTAAAAATAATTCATAGTAGAGAGTCGTCTTTTGTTCGTTCTGATATTTGCATTTTAATAATAACGAAACAAAGCTGTTTAGGGAAAAAAATTCATATACAATATAGGAAAGAATCTTTCTCAGTGGCACAACAGCCCCAGGTGGTCCCTGAACATCTGCAAAATTCTTTCTAGCATCTCTCTATTTTGCAAGTCCTTCAACTTTTGGTTTTTAGAATGTCCATGTCTTTTTCGAGACAGCCGATGCATCTAAGAGCAGGTATGGCCTTTTAATCTAGTTCCTATAAAATGGTGCTTAATCCCCACTCACATTGAAAAATAATGTTTTTTCTTCTTTTTAAAAAAAGAAAGAAAAAACTTTATTGCTTTTCGTTGTTGTTTAGGAGCATGCATCTCGTTCCGACTGATATTCCGTAATGAACTTTGTTAAAACAAATATCGCTTATCACTGACTGATGATCATCTTAAATAACAAAGTGCTGAAAATTAAAAAAAAAAAAGTGACATCTGAGTGTTCTTCGTAATTATTTATACTTCTAAAATTGTTTCAATTTTAAAAAGTTTGCTTTGAAAGTAAATTTTTTGTCATAAAAAAAAACTGCCTTGCTTGTTGTGTAAACTGATTTCCATAATTATTTTATTATAATTAAGAGTCCATTAAAAATAATTATTATTACGAGTTCATTAAAAATATATCTATAAATGTTTCAAAAAATGTGAATTTGTTTTCTTTAAATGTAAAATAAATAAAATTTCTTATTATTATTTTCTTAAATTTTAGACTACATTAAACTTTATTATTTTTATTGCAAATAGTAAAAATGTACATATGAAAGTGTAGTGCCACGCTCAAAACTTTTTACACCAATGGTGGCTCTTAATTAAGGTATTCAATGTTGGCATGGCCAACCCAAGTCTTGTCTAATGACAATGGATTACACTGTCACACATTGGTTTGACCAACCAGAATCAAAAATGCACGACATGTTTAGGAAGGAGTCTTTCCACCAAGCTAACTTTTCTAGAGATAGAATTTTTTTTTAATAGATTCAGTTGAAATACCAGGAGCTCTGGGAGTCATGGTATCAATTAAAATAAAATTTAATAAAGTAAGTTTCTATTCATAGACGGGTAATAATGTGCGGTATATAGTTTTCCTTCAAACTGTCCATTTGGAGCACATGCAAATCTCAATGAGCCACTCCTCTAATGAGAGATTTTTGGAGTTAAAGAAACAATCTTATATGAATTAAGCATCAAGATAAGTATTAATTTTAAATTAACTCTCTAGAATCTGTTAAAATCAAAATGAAGGCTATAATAAACTGTTCATTAAAATCTGATACAATATCAAATCTACTGAATAACTCCAAGTTTAATTATAAATAGTAGATAAATGCTATTTAATGTTTTGGGAACTGCTCAAATAAATTCTTTTGTTAATTTTAAAATGGTATTAGCAGGGATGCTACTCGCAAAATATCAAATTGTCTCACCAGAAATTGCATTTCGTCTCAGTTAAAATCTCTTTTTGGCTCAGCTAAAATTATTTTTTTCACTCAGTTTATCTCAGCTAAAATGATTATTAATCAGTTTGATAACAATATAAAGATAATTTTCAGGATCCATAAAACCATTAATAGCATACTAGGAGTACTACAATTATACATACATTCACTATTGCTAGGATTTTAAAAAACCTGCATATGATTGATTATAAGAGTCCACAAAATTGTTTTATGGACTCTGTTGTTTTCATATATATTGTATTTATCATTTATGCCAATGAATAGTATCTGTTCCAGAATTTTACAAAGTAAATTTTAACTTTCTTATTTTTTAAAATATAATGGTGTTAACTTTCTAAAAAGAAATATCTATTTAGTTTCAGTAATTCAAAAGGGAAAATACCCATTTTTTTTTAGCTCAAATTTCATCTCAAAATATATAACTATTCAGTTACAATGAAAGGTCTACAGATTTCAATAATTAAAAGAGAAATTCAGTAATTAAATAATGAGAGTTTAAGAAAATGCAAATAACACAAAAAAAAACACTCTTTGATAGAATTCAGGAGGTGCAGTGAAATTTTGAAATATTTTAGGTAGGAATTTTTCAAGAAAATTTTAGGGAGCACTTAATAGCCAAAAATTAGCATATATACATTTTTATATCAAAACAGAAATATTTAAAAACTATTATAAACAATTTAAAAAGACACATATAAATATAATTTTCTTTCTAAAATGACTTGCATCCTTTATTAAGTATAAAAGTAAACTTTTTAGTTTATTGGCATTGACTAGTAGATTGTACTTTCTTGCATTCACAAGATTAGTTAGTTGACTATGTTCTTTTAATTTGTATAGCTAAATATACAATCATAAAATGTGATTATGAATGCACTTAGTAATTGTTTAAATGCAACAACTGTAGAAAAATATATCACATCTTTACAGTAACTAATTCAAGAAAAAACTTAATTCTACTTCTTTCTAGAATC